TCCCCGTGTGTGTGTGTGTGTGTGTGTGTGTGTGTGTGTGTGTGGCCCCGCCGGTAGGGACCCAGTACTGCTGACCCAGAGGCACATCAGGAGCACCCCGGTCCCCGCGGCCCCGGAACCATCTCTGCACCCATTCCTGTGCTCCTTTGCTTCATTTTGAATTCCTGTTTCACTTTGCGCCTCTTGGGAGAGCAGGCTGGACCCGGTGGAGACACCCCAGTGAACCCAGGGGACGGGAGGAGGTTGGCCTCCCGGTCTCTGAACCTGGTGACCCTGGGGTGGCAGGACCCCCGCACCCTCTCGTCATCAGCCAGCCGCTCCGGTCTGGAAGCTCCTTGGCCACCATGCCCAGTGTGCACAGAAGAAGCGGACCAAGTCACTTTGGGTAGGAATTTGTAGAGAAACAAACTTGGATAAGCATCTCCTTTGGATATTTATTTCCGCTTTCGGCAGCAGATGAAAAGCATTTATTTAAAAAGCGTGTATTTAAAAAAAAAAAAAGTCCAAAAAAAAAAAAAATCCTCAACCCTGAGGTTTGGCGTCATGTTAGACATGTGATGTTACTGTTAAGATTTCATTTTCGTCTTCCCTTGAACTTCCCAGCGTTTTGTTCTAAAGTTCTCAGTCTGGCTTTCTCCGTTTTCTTATTTCTCTATGACTCGCTAACTCCGCAAGCCTGTGGAATGATTCAAGGACCTTCCTGGAAAGTTTAGATTATTTTTTCAACAACAGTAAAGGAGACCCCCACGTATTCTCAGGTACACATGGAGCTGAGAGGGCCAGAGGTTTCTCAGGCGTGGTAGCCACGGGGCCTTGCGTTTCCTGAAACGCCTGCCCGGGAAAGGGGCCGGTGCGGCCAGCTCCCCACTCAGGACCCATCCTTCGTCTCTCCGGACCGAAACCAGTCAGGGCTGCTGCCCAGCTCCACCTTCAGATCTTGCCGTCTCTCTCTGTCTAGAAGGAACCGCTTGGGACCGTGCAGACTCCGGCCGTGTGGCCGGGATGGAAAGGAAAGGCCACGGAAGCTGTCCTGTGCGTGGCCCGTGTCCCCACCATGTGTGTTCGCCCAGGCGGGAGTGTGGGGAGACGCCCGCTGCGGGGTCACGCCCCAGTTCTAGAAGCTGTCCAGGGAACTCCGGTCCACCGCCCTTCCTCCCGGCTGCCGCTGCAGAAACAAAAGCTTATTTTTAAAGATGAACCCCACCCCCCACCCCCACCCAGTGGCTTCTCCATTTGAGCTGGACGCGTGCAGGCCGGTTCCCCGACGTATCTGAGAAAGCGCCTACTTGGACAGGTGCAG